GTCACAGCTGGAGCCTGTCACACAGTTATACACAGCACACTGGCACGCTCCCTCACACACGCCTCACTGTGTCTACCGGGTCCCCCACACGGTTCGCCAGCTCCATCCCCAGCCTGCCCCTCAACTCCTGCTGTCGCCCAGCCTGACTCCCCTCGCTGCGCCTCGGGCTTCAAGGGCAGTGAAGTCACCGCGTGCGGAGCCAGAGGGCTGCAGCCCGCCAGGGGACGCGCGCGAGCTTCTCAACTAACGGCTGAGTCCGGCCCGAGGACTACCAGCCCCAGAGTGCTTTGCGGCGCGGCCCTTCCCACTTTGCACCTTCGCTTCGAGACACGCGGTAAGTGCGAGTGCACGGGGAACTAACTGTAAGCCCTTCTGTGCGAGTTCCTGGGCGTGGGTTGGTTTGTGTGAGGCGATGGTAAGGCTCTGCAAGAACGTGACAATGGCTGAATGCATGCGCGTGTGCTTTGTGCTCGACTACCGCGGCACACCATTGCGCATGCGCACCAACGGGGGTTGGCATCTGTCCGTTTACTGAGCTAGAGTTGGCAGTCACGTCCTCTGATGGTGGACTGTGGCGTGACAGCTTTGAGTGTGTCACGCCAGACTACCAGTCGCTGCGGGTGTGCGGAGTAACTGGCTTCGTTGTTTATTTCTGGTTTTTGCAGACAGGATTTCTCTGTGCAGCCTGGCTATCCTAGAACTTGCCCTGTAAAGCAGCCTGGTCTCGAACTCTCTGCAAACCTCTGCTTCGTGAGTCCTGGAATTAAAGGTGTGTGCCACAACGCTGTCTTAGGCTCTCTTAGATCATTTCTGCCTGTATTACTGTCTTGGGTCTTTGGTTCAGGGCTTGCATTTAAGGGGTGTGTGACTGTGGGATTTCAATTGTTGCATCTTTAAAGTTGTTGGGTTTTGTTTTTTGAGGTTTTTTTTTTTTAAATAAGGTCTTCATTTATGTGCATGAATGTTTTGCCCCCATGTATGTATACGCACCACACATGTGTCTGGTTCCCTAAGAGGTCAAAAGAAAGCAATTAGGCTTCCTTGAACTGGAGTTACAAGCCTTGTGGGTGCTAGAAACCAAAGCTAACTAAGTTCTCTGGAAGAGCAGCCAGTGCTTTTAATTGCCGAGCAATCTCTCCAGCTCCTTAAATGAACTTCTAGAAAAACAACTACCTGTACTATAGAAAGCAAAAACAAGCCAAGAGTAGAGTCATCTCCAGTCACAAGCAGCTCACTTGGACATGTCCTTCCAGGTCCTGCATGGGTGTTTAAGTAAGTAGGATCAATTGAATTCACCAATTCAAAAAATCCTGAAGCTGGCAGGACATGGTGGCGCACACCTTTAATCCCAGCACTTGAGAGGCAAAGACAGGGGGATCTCTGTGAGTTGAGACCAGCCTGGTCTACATATAGTTCCAGGCTAGCCAGAACTAAATAGTGAGACCCTGTCTGGAAACAAAACAAACCCTCCTAAAACAAAACACATGAGTTATTGTGTTAACCAACAATGTTACCGGTTTCCGCTCCTGAGTGCTGGAATTAAATGTGTGACACTATATTCTGCCCAGCCCACCAATTAAAAAGTGTATTTTACTGGGCGATGATGGTGCACACCTTTGACCCTGGCACTTGGGAGACAGAGGTAGGTTATCCTAGTCCACAGAGTGAGTTTCAGCTTTTCTTTGCTCTAGACACCCAATGCCTATTTCAGTTGTGGTTGAGTCTCCCTGAGCCGGAGACTATGATTCTGTATGTCCCATCTTCCCAGAGACAAATGTCCCTCACGTCTCAATCATGACTTACTAATACCATAGCATTCTGGCAGCACATTTGTGAGCCAGTTTTCGGGAATGAGGCACACCAGGAGTAGAACCAAGATATCGATGAACACTGAGAATTGTAACCGATTCCCTCGAACCAGATATTCACACCTCAGGTTATCAACTGCAGTGTCAAACATCCCACTGCTTTTATGCTTTCTTTTCTGTTAATAATAAGGATCCAAAATAAATGAAAAGTGGGGAGTGGTGGCACATGCTTTTAATCTCAGCACTTGGGAGGCAGAGGCAGGCAGATCTCTGTGGATTTGACACTAGCCTGGTCTACACATAAAGTTCAAGGCCAGCCACAGCTACATAATGAGGTCCTAACTCAAACAAAAGAAGTTTTGGGAAAAGAGTCCAAATAGTTACAACTCTTCTCCAACCGATTTAGCTATCTCTTCAGTTTTTCTATAAAAATAGCACTTGGTTCGGCATTTTCATGTTTTACAAAAAAAATCATAATTTTTGAAGTTTTTTTGTTTTGTTTAGACAGAGTTTTCGCTGTGTAGCTCTGGTTGGCCTGGAATTCACTATACAGATCAGGCTGGTCTCAGACTCAGAAATCCATCTGCCTCTGCCACAAGGGCTAGGATTAAAGGTATGCACAACCATGCCTGGCAATTTTTAAGTTGGTTTTCTGAGACAGGGTTTCTCTATGTATCCCTAGCAGTTCTGGAGCTTGCTCTGTAGACCAGGCTATCCTCACACTCTGAGATCCGCCCGCCTCTGCCTCCCAAGTGTTGGGATTAAAGGGGTGTGCTGCCACCACCCAGGTAGTTTTTAAGTTTTGATCTGGTAAAAACGGCATGCTATCCTGACCACCCTTTTAAAGTGTTTTCTAAACTTTAGGGTATATACAACCCACATTACTAATTCTACAGTTCCATCACTCCTAAGGACAAGTCCTTTATAAGTTCAGACATTCACTTCTATTTCTCATTCTCAGTGTCACTTCAGTGCTATTTTACCACTAGAAGCACTGAATATCTTTTGTTTCTCATCAAGTATTCTATAAGATGTCTCAAAAATCATGTTATTGGAGACAGGGACTTGGTACACAGCACATGGTATCAAGCTCTCAACCAGCCTACATCAGCATCTGTAGCTACTACGGCTATGAGCCACCATACCCAACTATTAACATTTTATATAACATCTATCTCCTCCAACCCCGTTTATTATGGGATAAGATGTAGAGTAGGGATTTATTTCCATAACTCATGTCTGTTGATATCCTGGCTTCTCCGTCTCCCCAGGTCCTGAGCAACCTGGCCCTGTTCCTGCTCCCAACTCCTCTCCTCCCGGCCCCATAGTTTCTCCTGTAACTCCGCGCAAGCCCTCTCCTGGGTCTGTGCCTTCTCCTTAGGGAAACTTACTTTGGTTCCGGGCCTTTCTAATCCCTGGGTTCTCTCCCCACCCGAGGATCACTCTTCCCTGGGCGACCTTCCCTCGCCCACGGACCTGTCTTTGACAGGTGATCGCTCCTTGCTGACAGTTCAAAAGTTGCACGGCTACGCTGTGGCGCATGCACTAAGTGGCCGAATAACAGCTCTGCATGCAGGGAGCTGGGCAAAGGTACCTCCACGACTCCAGTTTCAACAGCCCCAACTGCTGAGGCTCGTTCTAAACCTTTCCCTTTTTAGCAAGCACCTCCTGCCTGTTCTCTTTCCATACCTATCCCTCCCTTCGCTCCCTTTCCCAATAAACTCCATGTGGGTTTGTTGAGTTTGGTGAATGTGTTTCATTGCCTGAAGCTGCAGCAAAGAACAACAATGTCCAAAGTAATATTGTTTTAATACTCAGATATTTAATCCTATTATTATGTCTACACACCCTCCCTATTATGGTCAAAGAACATGACCTGTCTTTAGAGATAAAGCATTCCATTCTGAAGGATGTTCCACAGGGAGGTGAAATATTCTATCTAGTGTAGGAATGCTCCTTACAAATCAGGAGGTACATAACTCAGTCTTTAGGAAATCCCTGAAACTGACGAGATACACCAGGTCCCTTCTTTTCCAAGGCTATACAAACAGGAAGGACTGACCTTGCTGAGCATCCTGGAAGAGGTAATCTCTAACTGGTTCAGTTGCCTACAAGTTGTACAGAGAGTTCAATGTTTTCACCTTTTTTGAGCTGTTACCCATCTTGGGATGGGCTTCTTTTTTGTGATACAGCTAAAGTAACCCCACACCCACACTCCTGGATGCAACTCCAATAAAACCCATTGGTTCATCAAGTCAAACTTTGATAATATCCTCACTTTGATATATCATTGGTACCCTATCAGAGGTGACTAGATCCTTGCTCATTCCCCACCCAGAATACTGTCACATAATACTTACATATTTTTTGTTTGGGGGAATAAAAGAAAATATTCCCATTTCTTCCTGCTGTTTTGACAGCTGTGACTTCAACTATCTAACAAAACTTTCCAGAATTTCAGACTGATTATTTGAACATTAAAAATTAAGTCTGGCAGGACATTGGTAGTGCACGTCTTTGATACCAGTGCTTGGGAGGTAGAGGCAGGCGAATCTCTGTGAGTTCGAGGCCAGTCTGGTCTACAGAGCGAGTGCCAGGACAGGCTCCACAGTGACAGAGAAACCCTGTCTCAAAAAACAAAACAAAACAAAACAAGAATTAAAGCTGAAGCTGGGTATAGTGGCCCACATTTTTAATACTAGCACTTAGGAGGCAAAGCAGGCAGATCTCTGTTTTTGAGAATAACCAGGTCTATATAGTGAGTTTCTGTCCAGCCAGAGCTACAAAGTACAACCTTGTCACAGAGAGAGAGCGGGGGGGGAGGGAGAGGGAGAGGGAGAGGGAGAGGCAGGAAGGGAGGGGGAGAGAAGTTTAAGTCTAAATACAGACTACCCACACACACCCCTTTTCCACTTGTAATCAGTAAGTGCTAGACGAAAGGCTTTATTTCATATAACTATTTTTTTATCATGAATCCTCTAGTTTTGATGAGGTAAATGGCAGTTAAAAGAACATTCCAGAAGCTAGAAGAAGCAGGTTAACAATAAAACACTTGCCTAGAACTTACCAGTGATAAGACTGCTTGCTTACCACATAAAGTCCTGTTCTCTAACCCCAGCACTACAAACACACACACACACACACACACACACCCTTTCCACAAATCATGAAGAAAATGATGAAGCAGTATGCTAATGACAATAGAGAAACCTTTTATTAAACCTATACTGTATGCTAGGAATAGATCTTAGTTATGAATTCATTGAGTTCTCACAGCAAACCAATGCATACACATGACCGCATATGTAAAGTAAGACACAACTACTGATAACATATATAAGGAAAAAAATCTGGAAAAATAACACTTTGCTAACGGTAATTTTCTTTCTGGCATGACATTAGGATTAGGCTTAATGAAAAGGAACAAAACAGCATACAAGGAGGAAATATGAATAAATTCAGCATTAAAAGAAACAAAACATCAAACATCCAAACATAAGTTTGGGGTCAAATTAATGGAGACAGCTTTTTTAAATGCAAAAATTTAGAAGCAACCACCATAACGTGAATAATACTCATGTAAAAGATATTAAGTAAGTCATTAAACTTGGTATTGCTGGAAAAGCAATTATAATGTTTTTAGCATGATAAAAGCAGATGAAAGAACATAAATACCAAGACTACTTGTTTTTAGAAAGCAAAGTCTAGCAGAATTAGTTCTACCAATTTGATAATCATCTACAATCACTACAGCAGTTATTTTGATGTCTGAGCTTTCGATTTTCTAGTTTTCTAATTTTTTTAACAAATAAAAATAAGCTCAAACATAGCAAAAAGAATGACCCCACCTTAAATACAACATAAGAATTCCACAAGGAACTTCAAATCATTAAAGGTTACACAATTAAAACACTGTCATATTAGCGCAAGCATCAAAAAGTTTAGAAAACAAAAAACAGCCCTAAAAACATAAGAAAAATACAAACAGCATGACAAATCCCAAAGCAATGGAGAACTAATAAGCAACTAGCATTGGTGTGAGAGAGAATAAATGTAGGACTGGAATTCATAATCTACAGTTAAATGCATTTGGATTGAAAATATAAATACTTAATCAAACTGTGTCAAAGAAAGTTACTCTTAAGTACAAATTTTTATTATTCATTAGAATGAATTTCCTGATGGCGAATAAGGTCTGAATCATTACTAAATGTCTTCCCACATTCCTTACAGCTATAGGGCTTGTCATCACTATGAATTCTCAGATGTCGGGTAAGGTTTGAGCATTTATTAAAGGCCTTTCCACATTTATTACATTCATATGGCCTCTCATCTGAGTGGACTCTCTGATGTTGAAAAAGTTGTGAGTTCTGAGTGAAGGCCTTCCCACATTCAAGGCATTCAAAAGGTTTCTCCCCAGCATGAATTCTTTGATGTTGCCGAAGTTGTGAGCTCTGAGTGAAGGCTTTCCCACATTCCTTGCACTCATACGGTTTCTCCCCAGTGTGGATTCTCTGATGATTTGTAAGTGCTGAGCCACTACTAAAGGCTTTCCCACATTCCTTGCACTCATAGGGTTTCTCCCCAGTGTGGATTCTCTGATGCTGAACAAGCTTTGAGCTCTGAGTAAAGGCTTTGCCACATTCCTTACATTCATAAGGTTTCTCACCTGTGTGAACTCGCACATGCTGAAAAAGTTGGGAGCTCTTTGTGAAGGCTTTCCCACAGACTTTGCATGCATAAGGTTTTTCACCAGTGTGAATTCGCTGATGGTCAATAAGATTTGAACAGTAGCTAAAGGCTTTCCCACACTCCTTACATTCATAGGGTTTCTTACCAGTGTGGATTCTCTGATGCTGAGAAAGGTAGGAGCTACAACTGAAGGCCTTCCCACAGTCCTTACATTCAAAGGGCTTTTCTCCAGTGTGAATTTTCAGATGTCGAGTAACATGTGAACCACAACTGAAGAATTTCCCACACTCTTTACATTCGTAAGACTTGTCACCAAGATGACTTCTTTGATGTTGAATGAATTGTGAGTTCTGAGTAAAGACCTTTCTACATTTCTTACATTCATAGGGTTTCTCGTCATCATTAATAATTTGACGTAGGGTAAAGAAAGTCTGTTGAACAAATGTGGGCATGTATTCCCGACTGAGTATTTCTTGGCTTAAATGACCATTTTGATATCCCAATGGACTTCCACATTCCAGAACATCTCTAAAACTGGAGTACTCAAGGCCATGCTTTTTAAGTCCCATTAACTCTCTCTGGCATGATTCTATTTCATAAACTTCCTTCTTTAGAGATAATAACTTGCTTTCACACATTGACTCCAGAGCTGGAAGGAAAGAAAGTACAAAATGTTCTTTTCCTCTCTTTTTTGGAAAAACTTCACTTTCAAAATGGAAATGGAAACACTAAAGTGAATATACTATCTAGTAGGTAAATATAGGCTCTTAAGGAGATCTGACTAATCAGAGGTTCTCAACCCTTGAATACAGTTCCTCATGTTGTGGTGACCTCCAACCTTAAAAGTATTTTCACTGCTACTTCATAACTATAATTTTGCTACTGTTGGAAATCATAATGTAAATATTTCTGGAGACAGAATATTCTGGATTCCTGGATATTTTGTGGCATAATAAATAATAAATGTGGTCTTTGTTCGGGGTCTAGATAATGAAATAGGGTCTCGTTGTCTGGCTCTGGCTAGTCTTGAACTCAGAGATCCTCTGCCTCTCGAGTGCTAAAGTTAAAGGAATGTTTCCTGAGATGAGGTCTTACTACAGAACTCTGGCTGGGAAGAAGAAGGAGGAGATACAGAGCAAGCAGCATGGGCACTGCAAAGTAAAGGCCACCCAGCCACGTAAAAGAAGTAGATTCATATAGATGGGTAACTTAAGCTCTAAGAGCTGGTTAGAAACAAGCCTAAGCTATCAGCTGAGCCTTTGAAATTAGTAACAAGTCTCCATGTGGTTATCTAGGAACTGGCAGGCAGGCCAGAAAACTCTGCCAACAGTGGCACACTGGTCTTTGTCCTGGTTTTCTGCCACTGAACATCAAAAGCCCTTGGGACTCTGAATGACAGCAGTGTCTTTGTACTGCTACTGAGGCAGTTCATGGCAGGCCTTACAGCGCCTCAGGGCTGGTTCCGGAAAGATGGTCTGGTGAGTGATGCTCTTGCACAGGACCCATGTTCAGTTCCCAGCACCCACACAGCGGCTCACAACTCCTGTGACTGTTGTTCCAGAGGACGTTTGTACTCCTCTGACCGCCGTGGGCACCAGTCCACATCTGGCACACATACACCACACATACTCAATTTATTAGAAGGTTGGGATTTCAGCTATCTGACCTCTGAATGGAAGAAACACTGAGATGCCAGTTACGGATTCACACCTATGTAAAAGCAAAAACAAGCTTGATGACCTGAGTCTGATCCCCACGACCTACATGATGGAGAGACAACCAACTCCAGCAAGTTGTCCTTTGACCTCCACACACTCAACCCATACAACAGATAAATATATGCAACTAAAAAATGTTTTTTTTAAGAACTTGGTTTTCTCACTAGACCCAGGCTCTTGAAGGCAGAAGCTTTCAAATTAACACCTCAGAGGTGCTATTTCCTCCATCAGCAGCGAGTTATCCCTGCGGGCGCTGCTCTGCTGCGTGTCTCTCACTTACCTGAGCACAGGCCTCTCGTAAGCTCTTTGCCAATCATCCAGGGCTCTTTGCCTTGCTCCAATAAAGAGATCACCTGAGGCTTGGGGATGTGAAGTCCTGCTTACAAGAAAAGATACGGAACACGGTTATGCTGTGGGAAACATCTAATCCCTCGATCACCAAGCAAGAGATGCCACGACAGGGTCAGCCAAAGACTGAAGACGAAGCTTCTGCCACAGAGCACCGGGGCTGCCTGTCTTCCAGGCTTCCTTTTCATCCCGGCTGAAACCTTTTATTTGCAAACAAGGAGCAGGTATTCAGGTGGCAAAGTTGAAAGCAGCTGAGAAATTCCCTGAGGAAGAAGTAGACACTCCAGAGACCGCCGAGTTGTTGCTACGGGTGCTCTTACCCACTGACAGCAGGTTGCTGTAGTTCTCCAACATCACGTCTCTATACAAGTCCCTCTGAGCGGGGCCCAGGCACTCCCACTCCTCCTGAGAGAAGTCCAGAGACACATCACTGAACACCATCGATTTCTGAAACAATAAACGCACACCCTAGCTGTATAACACGCACACACAAAATACTTACAAAACTTTGGTGCTTGTGTTATGGGGTCCAGTAAAATGAGCCATTATACTGATGTCACCAAGAACAGTGCCTCTAGATTCTCTGTTCATTCAGAAACTGATGGCAGAAAGCCAAGCATGCTAATGCATGACTATAATTCCAGCACCTGGACTGAGGCAAAAACATTGATTGGAGTTTGAGCTGCCAGCCTGAGTTACATATTGAATTCAAGGCCAGCCTTAGTTATATAATGAGATCGAGTCTCAAAACAACAGGACTAGGGAGACAGCTCACAGGCAAAGCCCTGGTTTCATTCCCCAGCACACACAAAAGTTTCTTATTATTCTTATTGAAACAAATTATTTTTCTGGTGGCTAAATGTATGATTTCTGATTGTACAGTCACAACAGCTTATATATACACTGACAAGCCTAATTAGAACCATCCATTATCACACTCATTCTTACTTCTGAGATGAATAAAATCAATGATTCATATGGAAAGTCAGCATGACCCACATTTCCTGCTGGATTTCAACTTAAACATGTTTTATAAATGCCCTAAGAGTTTCAGAGGTCCATACCAGCCTCACAAGCCAGGATACCCTATTTCCCATTCTCTCACTGGAAAACACTAGTTTATAGACATGGATTTAGCTTTTCCATGTGTCTTGCCAGCTAAGTGACTCATATTGCCACCTCATGAAATTACAGACAGGCAGGACAAATTCACTCTACAATCCTTTCCCTTTCCTGAGTACATCATTTCCTGCCCATCAGTGCCTGGAAAAAGATCAAGGCAAGATGATTTGCTGAATGAAAATATTAATGTTGTTTGAAAATGACAGGTACTGAGAGATGATGTAGGGTTAGCTAGCTAGCATGAGAGTCAACCAGGACCAAGATCTTGGCAGGAACCCTTATCAGCCACAAAAGTCAGCACAAGGAAAGCAAATGCAGCCTCCTGAGTGGCTGGGTCACAAGCACTCACACCATCACACTGTCTACATGGGAAAATGGAATGTCAAGTAGGTAAGATGTATGGGTTACTTCAGCCATGGTTTTAAGTACCACAGGATATGGCCAGACTTCCTTACAGCTGTTTTCTTGGAGGCAGGGGTGTTGCGGAATATTCCTTTACACTATGTGGAGATGTGTCGCTGTGATTGGTTTAATAAAGAGTTGAATGGCCAAGAGTTAGGCAGGAAGAGGTTAGGTGGAATTTCTGGGGACAGAGAGGACTGAGGGAAAGAAAAAAGGTGGAGTCAAGACACACAGGACATGCAGGAGGAGAGGTAAAAGCCACAAGAGTCATGGCAGCAAATAAATTAATAGAAATGGGTTAATTTAAGTCGTAAGGAGCTAGTTAGGCACAAGCCTAAGTTAAGGCCAAGCTTAAGTCTTCATATCATTATTTGGGAGCTGGCAGTATAGAGAAAGACTTGCTACAGAGGAGAGGTTCTAAGAAAGTAAGACTGGGTAAGGAAAGAAATACCCTAGAAACTATACCATTCTTATAATAATGGTTAAAGCAGTCAGGTAACTATTTCTGCTTTCCTTGTTAGAATTCCACTTAGTAGAAATATGGAACAAATACTACCTATACTGTTGCAGAATACTGTTTACACTGTAAAGAGGTGTCTGCTAAAGTGCCTTCTGATTGGTTTAATAAAGAGCTAAATAGCCAATAGCTAGGCAGGAGAGAATTGGAGGGACTTCCGGGCACAGAGAGAGAGAAACTGGGAGAAGGAAATAGACACATGGGTTTGCCAGGGAGACACAGAGAGGAACAAGGAGGCGTGGCATGGAAGAGAGGCAATGCCATGTGGCAGAACGCAGATTAATATAAACAGGTTAATTTAAGTTATAAGAGCTGCTGAGAACAAGCCTAAGCTAAGACCAAGCTTTCATAATTAATAAGTCTCCGTGTTATCTGTGAGCTGGCAGCCCAAAGAAAAATCCAACTACACTATACTTTGTATGACACTGCATTTATTTTACTTGAGACAGGATCTCATTAGGTAGCCTTGGTTGGCCTAGAACTTGAACTCAGAGAGATCTGTCTGCCTCCATATCCCAAGTACTAGGATTAAAGGCGTGCACCATCTCCCCCAGCTATTATCAAAGATTCCCTTTTTCTCTGGGGAAGCTTCCTGTGTTGATGTGCACATTCACACATGGGAAGTCAGCATCAATTCAAGTGGAATGTATGACAACCCAGAGGCCAGCAATTTTCGTGCAGGGATACACCTAAAAGAAGCACACAGCGTATGTGCACTGGAAGACACAAAATGCCCTGTTCATAATAACCGTACTCCGAAAACAATTCAAATGTCAATAATGGAATAGGCTGTACTAAAATCCACAATGAAAAATAATTTTTTTTTGAGGTTGGGTCTTGTATGCAACACAAGCTGGCTTGGACTCAGTATGTAGCCAAGGATGATTTGAACTTCTAGTCTTTCTGTCTCTACTTCCCCAAGTGCTGGAATTATAGGAGTACACCACTGTGACTGCTTAATGTGGTGTTGGGGAACTGAACCAGGGCTGCATATAAACTAGGCAAGCACTCCACCACCTGAACTGCACCTCTGGCCATGTTTGTTGTTGTTATTATTGGTTTCTCGAGATAGGGCTTCTCTGTGCAACAGCTCTGGCTGTACAGTTCTCAATTAATAGACCAGGGACTAGCCTCGAACTCACAGAAATTGGCCTGCCTGTCATCTAGCAAATATGGACTTTTAAAAGAAAGGCAAGACTCACACTGTGATACAGAACTAGGCATGGTAGCTTACACCTGGAAGCCAGTACTTAGGAGGCTAAATCAAGAGAATCCAAAGTTTGAAGTCAGCCTGGGCTTCACAGTGAGACCCTGTCTCAGAACTAAACATAAACCAACAACAACAACACACACACACACACACACACACACACACACACACACACACACACACACACTCAGAAATGGGGGCTGAGTGATGGCTGAGTGGTTAAGACTGATTCCTCCTCTGGCAAAGGACCCAAGTTTGGCTCACAACCTTCTATAACTCCAGTCGCAGTTCTATAACTCTCTCTGGCCTCCCCAAGTACTGCACATATGTGGTGCTTCACATACATGCATATACATACACACATACATACGCACACATACGACAATCATACACATAAAGTTAGTCACATCTTTTTGTAAGTATGTGACTCCCACATGTAATTCCAGCACTCGGGGAAGCGGAGACAGGAGAATCAGAAGCATAAAGTCATCCTCAGCTACACAGGGAGTTTGACACCAGCCTGTCTCAAAAAAACAAAGCAAACCACAACCAAACCACACAACTGCCATGCAAAACTTTTACTAGAACTATATGAAATGTTTAGTGCTATAACAGATTCCACCCTTGAAAATAGCACGAGAAGGAAACTCATCAAACAAAGGTTATTTTTGTGCAGTGGAAATTTAACTCCGCTCGGGTCCCGAAATTCTTTGAAATAACCGTGTTTTAGATGTGAGTTTAGAAAGAAACAAACACGTTACAAGTTATCTATTTCCTAAGTCAACATGTGACCATTACACAGAATGAAGTCAGAGAGAACACAGGCTGTGTGTGTGTGTGTGTGTGTGTGTGTGTGTGTGTGTGTGTGTGTTTGTGTCCATGTCAGAGTTTCCCACCATTTTCATGAATGGAAAATCTGAAGAAGCAGATCTCTTTCTGAGTGGTGTCACACAAGTCCATCCCAGAGACAAGCAAGAAGTAAACCCCAGGGCACCTTATGCTTGGCTTGGTCCAACGCCATTCCTCTTTTCTCCATTGGGTACTTCGGGAGGGGCCCGAGCTGGGGAAGAAAGAAGGAATCGTGAGGTCCTAAGCTTTTTAATAAAAGGTCACCCTGGAATACCTGTCACTCAAGGAGAAAAAGTCTAGGTTGTCATGAGCATTTTCTAGAGTCAGAGAAGGAATGAAGCCTATGGTGTCCAAGACCAGATAACACTGAGGTCTCAGGACAGAAAATTGGAGTCATGCAGTCACTCATACCCACAACTTACCCAAACCACAGCACTACAACATCTGATCAACTAGTCACAGTCACACATCTGTCCCGAGGCTACAACCACACCCACTCGTTTACAGAACCCTTAAATACAACACCACATAAAACCACAGTGCTACTAATGGTCCCAATAGCACACCCCCTGCTCAGCCACCCAACAGTTAAAATAGCCTCCAATTCTCCCTCATGAGAATTACACAAAATCATTCAACAGAACCCAGCAGCCTCTAAGATATACATGTGTGTCAGCCTGACAACGATACTCACCTTCCAACCACTCTTATAAAGTTACATAATCACACTCGAACATCTGCAGAGTCGCAAGCACCCAATACACACGGCGTACATACCCACACACGGCCCCCTCAAGTTAACAGTCAGGCAGGCACAGCTACCAATTCCCTCACATAGCCCCCGTAAACAAGTTACGCCGTTACAATCAGTCCAAACACACGGGGACGCAATCACACCTCCTCACGCTAATCGGGAAAAAGTGTATACCCGCACACAGGGCTCTGACCATGTTCACAGAGAAATCACCAGAGAACCCCAAAAATCAGACCCGCGCACTCGTGGCGCCCTGGGGTCACTTAAGGTCACACACACACAGCCAAGACCTCGCCACCGCTCACCCAGCCACACCAACTTCCACAGTCTTGACAGCTCGCAGACCGACCGGCGTTTCCCCTCAGAACCCAGGGGCGCACCTGCGGAGCCTAACAAGGACCTAGGCCGCTCCCAGCGCACTTTCCCTTCTCCGGACGACGAGGGTCCCGCAGGCAAAAGAAGGGGATGCCTTGAGTTCGCGGTAGTTTCTGGGAAATGTAGTCCGCGATGGGACCTGGCGGGGAAAATGGCGTCCGTTCTGGGATTCCCGCCAGGGCACCGCCTGCGGCAGGCCGAGGAGCTCGCCCCGCACGCGCGAGTTTCCTAGACACGGGCACGACCTCGAACCGAAACTCTCACCACACGCAGGGCTGGCATCCCGGACAGAAGCCCCGTCCATGGTCACGGCCAACCTCAGGGAATCACTGTAAATTTTGAGTGAGACGGTCAGGGCCAGGTTGGCGCCGGAAGTTGCGTGGCGTCGCATGTGTTTCTGGGAAATGTAGTCTAGAGACGGAAACTGCGTGGCAGTGGTCTGGAACAAAGTAGTTTAAATGATTTCTCAGAGACCACGCCCGGTGTCTGGAGGCTCGTGGGCGTCGGAACTCCCTGTAGGAATGTTCAGGATGACGATAGGGCGCCCGTTTTGCCACATTATAGGATTAATATGACCCATTTAGGAGGCATAAAAAGAATGACTGTTATTAAAAACAGATTTAGCTTGGAGATCGGAGTGGAGATTGGGTGGGAGGCTGGGGGACCTGATGGGGAGGGCGGGAGAGGAGGGAAGGGAGAGGGAGCTGGGATCGACATGTGAAACAAGATTGTTTCTAACCTAAATTTTTTTAAAATGTAAAAAAAAAAAAAACAGATTTAGGGAGAATTGTGAACTAGTGAATGCTTCTAAGTAAGTATGGAATTATTGAGTCTGGGTCTCCAGCCCAACCTGGAACTCACTATGTAGAGTAGATTTGCATTGAATTCACAGAGATTCATCGTTCCCTGCCTCACAAAGACTTGGACTATAAAGGTGAGCTTCAGCATACTCAGTAGTGAAAAGTTTTGGGGCTGGAGAGATGGCTCAGCGGTTAAGAGCCCTGGCTGCTCTTCCAGAGGTCCTGAGTTCAATTCCCAGCAACCACATGGTGGCTCACAATCATCTGTAATGAGATTTGGCGCCCTCTTCTGGTCTACTTTAAAAAAAAGCCAGGCACAGGTGGTGCATGCCTTTAGTCCCAGCAGGTCAGATCTCTGTGAGTTCGAGGGCAGCCTGGTCTATAGAGCGAGTGCCAAGACAGCCAGACGGCCAGGACTGTTTCACAGGAAAACCTTGTCTCAAAAAAGCAACAATCAAAAATCAGAAAAGAAAGAAAGATTATATTCTTGAGGTCAGTAATGGTGACGTGTGCACACTCAGTGGATACAAGAGCTTATACAAGGAATCGAACCCTGGAACTCGTGGATGTAGTGTGAGCCTTTGTATGACTTATGAGTTATACTTATGTTGGTCTTTTAAAAGAAAATCAAGTCCACTGAGGTGCAATTTAGGTACAATAAGATACATTAATTGTATCTGCTCATTTTAAGACACACCTCTAAGAGCGTCTTTCACGTGCTTCTTGCATGCATATATCTGCACTACACACAGTAGGTGGTCTGTGAAGACCAGACAAAGGCGTGGGATCCTCAGGAACTAGAGTTCCACATGGTACCATGTGGGTGCTGGGAACTGAATTGAGTTAGGTCCTCTTCCAGAACAAAAGTACTCTGAGTCACTGAGCCATCTCTCTGGCGCCAAGAAAGCACTAACTTAATTTTTTGGGGGGGGGGGGTTTCAAGGTAGGGTTTCTCTGTGGCTTTGGAGCCTGTCCTGGAATTCACTATGTAGACCAGGTTGGCCTCGAACTCACAGAGATCCACCTGCCTCTGCCTCCCGAGGGCTGGGATTAAGCATGTACCACCGCCGCCCAGTGAAAGCACTAATTTCAAAGTGAGCTGTTTGATGAGGTTCAACATGAATATGTCACTGGTGTATTATTTATGACCTAAACCATTTTTGTTTTTTGAGACGGTTTCTCTGTGGGGCCCCGGCTGTCCTGGAACTCATTATGTAGACCAGGCTGACCTGGAACTCACAAAAATCCACCTGCTTATGCCTTCCAAGTGCTGGGATTAAAGGGGTGCGCCACCATCACCTGGCTCTACCTAGAGTATTTTTAGACATCAAGCCCCACCCTGATTTTCTGAATAGTATTCCTTTTATGAATTATATATCTGCATTTGTATGTCCAATCACGTTTGTGAATGTTTCTGTTATCTCCAGATAACTGATTTGAATAAAGCAGATGGAAGCATTTGCTTACAATTCTTTTTATAAACATATGCTTTCATTTATTTTAGGAAATATGTGGTGGTAGAATCAGTGAATCTCATAAGCAAATATTTAATTTTGTAACTGCCAGACTGTTTTACAAAGTGGTCATACTGTCTAATTTCAATAGCAATGTAAGAAACTTTTATTTGTTCCGTGTCCTGTTAAAACTATTGTCAGTCCTTTTTTTAAGATTTGTTTTTTTCTGGTGTGTGTGTGTGTGAGAGAGAGAGAGAGAGAGAGAGAGAGAGAGAGAGAGAGAGAGAGAGAGAGAGAGAGAGAGAGAATTCACACACTAGTGCAGTGCCTGAAAAGGCCAGAAGGGGCGCCATATCATCTAGAATTTACAGAAAGATTTGTGAGCTGCCTGTCGTGGGAACAGAACTCTGGTCCTTTGCAAAAGTGGTGTAAGTATTTGGCACGTGAGCCACCACCTCGGCTTCTCTTGTTAGCCATTTAAATTTAATTAGGTAGTTAGAGAGTGAGCCATGGCATCAAGTTAAGGCTTTGTTTACACAGAAATGGCATTGCTATCTACAAATTACATTTTAATTTTAGGAGCTTTTAGTCACATGTTGGCTACATTGGGTTCTGTCTTTCACCCCTCAGCCTGGCCTACTGCCTCATCCCCCGTGTGAGCCATCATGCCTGGCATTAAACTACTGAAGGGAGTCTGGCAGACCCTGCTCTTCTCTCCATCTATGTAGGTGGAGTTTTCCTTCTCAACCAACAGTTCCCAGATAAAGGATATGGAGACTTATATTAATTATAAGTGCTTGGCCGGTAGCTCAGACTTGTTACTAGCTAACTCTTACATTTTAAATTAGCCCGCATTCCTTATCTGCCCTCTGCCATGTGGTGGAACCTCCTGCTTCTCTTTGTGTCTCTGAGACTCCTCAGACTCTGGCATCCTTCCGCCAGCATTCTCCTCGTCTGGCTCTCCCACCGAATCTCTTCCTGCCAGTCAGCTCTTTTATTAAACCACTCAGAAGGCGCCTTGGCAAAGACACGTCTTCACAGTGACCAAAGATGATTCTGTAATACCTCCGCCTTGCTAAAAACTGTCAGATTACGTTCCTAAAGCTGCCACCAAGGTCCGGTCCCTTATTTGGCCACTTCCCCCTCCTGAGGCTGACGACCAAGGTCCAGTTATCCAAGTATTGAAGCCCAGCAATCAAAAGCCCCCTTGAGCTCTCCTAATTAATATGCCCAGTTGAAGTTAAACACCTCATCCTAACTCGGGGTTTCCCCTCGTAAGCTGTCTCCTCTCTATCCAGAGTAAGTCCTTTATCCCTCAGGGACAAATACCGCCCCCCCGCTCCCTTCCCCCTCCCCCCCCCCCGGCCCCTTCCCCCTTCCCCCTTGTCCTCAACGCTGTGTGCATCTCTTATTCCCTGCCCTGTCCCTCTGGGGCAAATAACTCTCCTTTATGCTGAGAGCTTGGCCTTGGGCGCCCTGGGTGGATACTTTTCCTTTCACCTGTTATTTTTATTATGGCTGCCTACTTCTTTACCCGAGGAGGTTAGAGTGGGGAGTGATGGGAACAAATGGGCTTCATCCCTGCACTCTCCTGCGTCCTTCGGGACACCTCGACTGCTCCCCTGCCTGTGGTGTCGTCCGCGGGATTGACGCCCCCATCTCCCACTAAAGATGTTAACCCTCTCCCAGGTCCCTGTGATACTGATTCCGACGCGCCCCTGGGGCTGCTGGGGTTTTCTCTCCGGAGCACATCTCCATCCTGAGCTGTCAACCTTTCCCACGAATGATTTTTCTACAAATCAGACCGCACCAGCTTGGTCTCTCCCCTCATTTCCCAGTGGTTTCTCCCCCGCTGTATCCCGCGCTTCCTTCCAGCAGGTGGCGCTGTATTCGGGATGTCCTCGTGATCCCGTGTCGGGTACCCGCCTCCTCTCCGGTGATGCACAGATTAGGGCCCCGGCGCTCTGGCGTCCGTGACAGCTCTTTGTCTCATTCTGTGAAACCTGGCTGATAGCTAGTCCTCTGCTGTACGGCAGGGCTAAGCTTCAAAGAAGGCGGCCCACGTGACTAGGCACCAGTGGGCGCGGCCAAGTTCCCCGGGTCCCTAAAGGAAGTGTAAGCGCAGGCTCTAGAAGCTGCAAGTGCGTGTGTGTGCGTGTGCAAGTGTGTACGCGCGCGTGCAAGTGTGTGTGCGCGTGCAAGTGTGTGCGCGCGCGCCTTGTCGACCGTTGACTTGCTCCGGCTTCACAGTAACGCGGGGCATGCGCAATACTAAGAGCCTAAGAGGACTTTTTTTTTTTTTTGGAAGACCGGAAGTGGCCTTGGTCCTGGAAGGTGGTTGCTTGCCCGCGGCTCTTGAGTATTTATGTTATTAATCCTGTTAATGACAAGGAGTCTTCGGGGATGAATCCGGCGGGTGTCAACCAGAAGTCAGTGAAGTCAGTAGTGTGTGTGGATGTTAGGAGTTAGCGACGCCGTGCTGTCTGCTGTGTTGATGGCTGTCAGTGGCCGGGATTTCTTCTGTCAATAACGGGGCTCTTGAGTACCTCAGGTTAGAGGTTGGGCGGGTGTCGGGGTGTGAGTGACGTTAGGGACTGTGCTGAGTGGGACGGTGGCATCTGTCAGCAGTTTGCTTTCTAACCTGAAAGATTAGCTTAACAATTGTTAGCCTTAATGTAATGATTTACAACCCTTGGTATATAGACTATTCTTTATTGTTGTTCAAATGTAAGTGGCTTTCTTCTTAAATGTGTTTTCTTTTGCCCAGGAGTCATTTTAAAGTGCATTTCCTGTCTCAAATAATGTCCCTGAGTAGTGGTCGAGTTGAAAAATGCTTCATGGACTATGCCATAATCGCTTTTCATAAATGTCACATCTATTTACATAAAAATAATTCGTTCTTTGGTTGATTGTATTCTGATATAAGAAGCATATATTTTCACATATCATATGGCCTTACAAACTTTTTTGTCTGCTTAGTTATGGGGGAGGTATATTGCTCATATGTTTGAAGTATATTGTTACCAACACATGTATATTTTTCCATAATACATTTATATATTCTTTGGATATTCTCTATATGTCTACAATATATTTTTATCTTGCCCACCCTGATACCTCCTACCACTTACGAGTATTTGGGGGGGTTTCTCTGTAGCCCTGGCTGTCTTGGAACTAGCTCTTGTAGACCAGGCTGGTCTTGAACTCACAGAGATCTGCCTGCTGCTGCCTCCCAAGTGCTGGAATTAAAGGCTTGTGCCACTATGCCCGGCTACTAGTATTTAATAATAACTATGACTTAATAGCTTAAAGGATATTATAGCAATTCAAGCATCCATCATCAATTTGTAAAAGAGCTTATTTTTCCAAATGCCTTTTCTTTTGCAAAAAATTCTATATTTTGTCAAGTTCTTACCCCATGGCTTTTTAAAAGCAATTGCTAGATATTTTTTAATTAGAAAAAAAACTTTGATCCCACGATGAAAATAATACACATCTTTATTTGAATTTTGTGGCGTTTTGTTTTGTTTTGTTTTGTTACTGGTGATTGGACCTAAGACCTCAAGCCTGCCAGGCAAATGCTCTGCCTCTGAGCTATAGCCCCCAGCTCTTCTCTGTCTCTCTCTGTCTCTCTCTCTGTCTCTCTCTCTGTGTGTGTCTCTCTCTCTCTCTCTGTCTCTCTCTCTCTCACACACACACACACACACACTTTATGGGAGCAAAGTTGGGTCATCAGGCTTGGTGACAAGTGCCTCTGTCACCTGAGTCATCTTGCTGCCCCTCCCTCCATTATGGCATGTTGTCTCATATACTATGGTCTGCTCTGAAATATGTCTTCTATCTTCTATAGCTTTGTTTTTCCTCTTCTGCATTGTGATGGATGGAAGCTTCTTCCTCTGGGCATAACTAGAGGACTTTGCTCCAAATTATGACAGCTAGAGCAGAACTGATAGTGACAGGTTAATGGTGATGTCTTGGTATTCCCTAGGAAGGGTCAAGGAATCCTCACCCTTTTTCTTCTGCCTGTGGTCCTGAGAGATGCTGCAATATATAACAAGCAGAAGATTAATCAAAAGCAGCACTTCATGATGTACTCTCCATGAATTTGTCATCCATGGAGGGGTGAGACTTAACACGATGTAGCTGTTTTGGGGGTCACTATTGATCCTTTTAGCAACCCGTCACCTGTGCTCTGTAAGCAAGCCCCATAAACGAATGTTCTTAAACAAGTATTCTGCAACACTTATGTAGTGTGTGTATGTGTTAGTGTGCATGAGCACATGCCGTTGTGTGTGTGGAGGGGAAGGACAACTTGTAGGAGACAATTCTCCACTTCCACTGCGTGGGTCTTGGGGACAGAACTCTTTTGGGTTGTCAGACTTGGTAGTAGGTGCTTTTTATCCTCTAAGATGTCTCCCCAGACCCAGATTTTCTTAAATTTTCTCCTCTCCCAGCACCAATTGAGTGATACAACAATTTCAGCATCATTCTGGGTACTACTTAGAAGCATAAATTTTTTAAGTCCTTAGACCTGCTGGAGCAGAAACTGTGGGAGTGAAGTGAGACTGGGAATTTTTAACTGTGTTTTGATAATTCCTCTAGAGTGGTGGTTCTCAGCCTTCCTAATGCTGCAACCCTTTAATACAGTTCATGTTGTGATGACTCCAACCATAAATTTATTTTGGTTGCTCCTTCATAACTACAATTTCTCTACCGTCAGGAACCATAGGCAACCCCTGTTAAATGGTTATTCAACCCCAAAGGGGTCACGACCCACAGGTTTCTAGTACCTTCAGATGCCCAGGATGTGTTTCAGTGATGGATGTCTGAGGACTAAGGGCTTGATCTTTCCAGGTTTCTTGGAATCTCTGTGGAGCTCCTTACAAGATCTTCCACCAGACTCCCTATCACCTCTTCTCAGTATCTCTGACTGAATTCACAGAAAACCATCCAGCTTCTGGTTACTGAGAGGACAGGGTCACGACCCAGGGTGACCATGCCAGCCAATTGCACGCCAACCCCGGAAGTTACGCCATTGGCACCAGAGGATCCTGGAAACTCCTGTGAGGTCAGCAGGAAGACTCCTGGGTGTGGGGTTTCCTCCAAGAAATATATGCCTCTGATTTGCCACTAAAGTCTCAGAGGTAAAGCAGACAGACCACAGGAGGCAGCCAAACTCCTAACCCTGCTCCCCAGGGAACGAATCTTGATCTTTTTATAAAAAATAAGGAACCCCTGGGCAAAAGTCTCCAGCTTCGGAGGCAAGGACAGTGGACAGGTGAAAGACTATTGTCTTCCTTATCTTTTGTTTGTGGGTAATATTCTTATTGGAAATTACTTCTGTGAAGGGTCTGTGAAGAAATGGCTCCATTTCCCTCAAATTGCCACACAGAACACATGCATTCTTCTCTATTTGGTCTGTGAAATTTCTGTTTCTCGTGTGTCTCCAATTTTTATTTTCCTCCACTCTTTTGTTTCTTTGTTTTTATTTCTGGGAAACACTTGTCATCTTTGTCTCCTGCCCCTCTGTTGAGCTGCCTATTACCACTACTGACATTTAATTCCCAGTTTCAATTTAAAACTTTTATTTTGGGTCTGGTGAGTCATACTTACAGGTAAGTGCTTGCCCTGTAAGTATGGAGACCCGAATTCAATTCCTGCAACCCTCATAAAAATGGAAAGAGAGCAGACGGCATATACTCACCATGACATACACAAGCATGCACAGGCCCTTCAGTTGAGCTGGACAGGCTCCCAGCAGCTAAAAGCACTCAGTCCTTTTCATGAAGTCCCAGGTTCAGTTCCTAGCACCCACATGGTGGCTCACAGCCTTCTGTAACTCCTGTTCCAGGTGATCCAATGCCCTTTTCTGGTTGCCTTGGGTACTATACATACATACATGTAAACAAAACACTCACACACAGAGATAGAAATAAGGAAAACTTTTTTTTAAGCCCTTGGGTTGCAGAGATGACTTGGTGGTTAAGAGCACTGGCTGCTCTTCCAGAGGACCCAGGTTTGATTCCCAGAACCCACATGGGAGCTCACAACTGTCTGTAACTCCTATTTCAGGGGATCTGATGCTCTTCTGGGCTCTGCAGGCACCAGGCATACATGTAGGCAAAACATTCATACACTAGAATTAATTTTTTTAATCTTTTAGGTATTTTTGGGTTTTTTTAACTCTTAAAAATTCCCTTACATTATTTTATTCTTTCTTGGGGGGGGCGTGGTTTCAAGACATGGATTCTCTGGGTAGCCCTGGCTGGCCTGGAAATGGCTCTGTAGCCCAGCCTGGCCTCAAACTCACAGAGATGGGCCTGGCTCTGCCTCCCAAGTGCTGTGATTAAAGGTGTGCACCACCACCTCCCAGCCTATTCTTAATTGTCGAATTAGTTTGTGTGTGTGTGTGTGTGTGTGTGTGAGCAAGCATTCACTCATGGGTATCTAAAAGTCACAGCACACATGGAAGTCAGAGGACAACTTTTGGAAGTGGGTTCTTTTCAGTTGGTTGTGCCATCTAGTTTCTGAGGCAGGGTCCCTCTTTTTGTATTCACAATTCCTCATCTCACCTTGGGAGTGTTGTGATTACAGATGCATGCCAACACATCCACAGTTTCAGAAGTTCAGTCAGTTATCATGGTGGGGAGTGTGGCGGGGGCTGGAGCTGAGAGACCTACATCATGACTCAGAGGCAACAGGAAGTTGACTAACTGTCACATCGAGGGAAGCTTGAGCAAAAGAACCTTTTTTTTTTTTAAGACAGAATCTCACTATGTCGCCCTGACTGGCCTGGAACTTGGTGTAGACCAGGCTGGCCCTCAACCCCACAGAGATTCGCCTGACTCTGCTGTCTAAGTTCTGGACTTAAAGGTATGTGCCACCACTGCCTGACCTTTAGATTTTTAAATATTTATTTTTACAGCGTTTGTTTGTTCTTTCATTAATGTTATGTGTTTTATCACTCTGGTGATATAGCGATAGTTTGTTAGGGATGATTGCAGTTTGTTTGTTTTTGTTTTTGAATAGGCAGTATTTATACTTGTTGCTGTATGGGGAACTACAAACAACACTGAAAGTACTATGTTGAAAGACACTCAGGGGAAAGATGAACTGTGATTAACCCACCTCATTCTCTACACGCCCATGTCACTGAGTGTAGATGACCAGTTTATATTATTTGCCATGGATTATTTTCTGTTCATGATATACATGAAAGCAACTATTTTTTCTTGTGATTTCAAAAACTGAAGCATACTGCACACAACATTGCAGTTTGTTTTTAAATGGTTGGTAAATACAGAGCATCATGTGGACAACATTTTTCTCTTAAAAAAACGTTTTCTTTTTCTGATCTCTAAGAAGTAGTAGGATTTTATTTCAGGCTTTGACTATAAATAGCAAGTCTCGACTGAATCTTAGCGATATTTCTGCTCTGTTGGGCGGTAAAGTTTTGGCTGTCTCAGTCATTTTTCTGTAGAGGATGGGGAGCCAGGGTCGACTATAACAGTCATTTTGTATTGGTGGGAATAAGACGAAGTTTATTGCCTTTGAAGTTGAATAGCACTGTGATTTCTGTCTGTGCTTAGCCATGACTACAGAGTAGTCTTTGAAGTGTTTATCTAATTATTCCCTATCAGTAAAAACTCAGGAGTCAGACATCAGAGTAAGAACCTGATTGATCAGAGAAATGGCAAAGGAGCAGTCACTGACCTCCACTCTCTCTACTTCCTCAATCCTACTTCTTCTCGTCTCTTTCCGTATGTCCTGGCTCCTCCTGTCTAATTTTGGTCCGCTAGTAGCTAGCTCTGCCCTCTGATTCAAAGTCAATTTTACCGGCAGTCTCAGGAGTGTCAGATGCAATCAAAATATCCCACAACAGGTATTGGTTTTGTCTTCCACCACAGTGGCCAGACAGTGAGTCTTCTTTAGTGTTGACTGCCTGTGGGGTCCTGTGTGTGTGTGTGTGTGTGTGTGTGTGTGTGTGTGTGTGTGTGTGTGTGTGTGTGTGTGTGTCTAACACCATGGAAAGTACCATGATCTAGATGTCCCATCAATCCAGTTCCTAGCAACACTGAAGCCCACATGATAGTACAATGCCCAGCTGTCAGCAGCTGCTTTTCTTATTTAAAATAAAGGAGTGGAAAAGATTGGTTCAGAAATAAGAATCAAAAGAAACCTACAAGCTGGGTGGTGGTGGCATATGCATTTAATACCAATACTCAAGAGGCAGACGCAGGTGGATCTCTGAGTTTGAAACTGGCCTGGTCTACAGAGTCAGGGCTGCACAGAGAAACTCTGACTTGGAAAAGTAAAAAAAAGAAAGGAAGGAATGAAGAGAGAGAAGAGAAACCTACAACTACAAATTTAGGAATAGGAATTTAAGATGAAACCACCTAAAATAATGATGGATAAATCTTACTGATGATAAGAATAATATACAAAGAATTACAATATTTATTTGTCAATGTATCTTTAAATAAAAATGAACAGAGATCAACACTGACCCATCTGTCTGGTGGCCCACTGTCCACTAGATAGGTTCTCTTATATCCTACTTAATAGGTTTTCTGTACCTCAATAATAGGTTTCTCCGGTGATGCAGTAAGCCAGATCAAGCCGAATTGAAAAAGTAAAAGAACAGGTTTATTTTGAGCAAAGCAACTCCCGGTGAGTCCTCCAGTCCCCAGAGATCGAGGCGGGAGAAGGGGCAGGAGAAATCCCATGGCCGAAATAAAGCAGGGTGTTTATGTACCCTGTAGACAAGGGGTAAGGGTGTGTCCAACCCAGGCTGGGTTTGTGCCCAATTACAATGCGTTGGGTGGGGACTTGGACCACTGGCAGCTTCAGGGGAGGAGCCACCACAGCCATCAAGAATGCAGAACTGGGTTTTTGGGGGTTCTTCTCCATTGGAGATTCTCTGAGAGGGTGGGGTTTAGAGTGAGAGAAATGAGGCCCTCTGGATCAAACAGGAGTGAGTTGGAAATTTCCAGGTGAACCCTACCTATGGCACCAAACTGTTGTAGAGCCTTTCACTCTGCCCCTACAGATTTCCTGCTACACCCTGTCCTTCAAGGACTGAGATGAAGTGGTGTCAAGCTATACCCAGCAAGGTGGTGTAATACAACCCCTATATAAACCACAGAGGGCAAGGCACAGTGCCAGAAACTTGTTTGGAGAGATTTTTAACTATGTAGTCTCCAGTCAACTCCCTCAGCTGTGCTTAGCACCCGTGAGGCCTGCAGGAAACCCTAGGATTGAGGATGTAGATTTCTGCCCTAGTGTCAAACCTCACAAAACAGCATAATAGAGAAAGGGTTTACTTGGCTCGCAATCCCAGGCTACAGTGTTCATGTGGGATGATGTCACAGCGGTGGGAACTTGAAACAGCTAGCCACATCTACAGTCAAGAGCAAAGAGAATGAATGATGCATGCTTACTTGTGCTCAGCCCCCACCCCAGTTATGTGGTTCTGGATCCCCTACCTAGGGAATGGTGCAGACCACAGTGGGCTTTCCATATCAAGTAACATAATCAGGACAGTCTCGCACAGGCCAACATGATCCAGACAGTCCCTTGCTGATACTCTCTTCCTATGATTCTAAATTGTGTCAAGTTGACAAAATTAACCATTAAAATGCCCAAGGTAATGATGGTTGCTGGGATCCTCTTGCCCTCCTGATTCTGAGCTGATTGCCACTAGGGACTGGGAGGGTGGTGAGGCATTGCCTTTTGTCCCCTCATGTGGCCATCTTGGGTTTCTGTACTCTGGGGTTTCTGTGACACCTCTGATGCCCCCAGGAATCTTCTTTAATTATTTCTATCACCATATAGTCATTTGTTATTTTGTCTGTGGAATGAGTGTTAGGGTTTCTACTTGGCCATCTTGCTGGCCTCAGTCTCGAGGGACTTTGCAAATGAATGAAAGACAAAAACAGAACCCATATTCCTTATTTCTAGATATGTTTTTTCACCCACTCCAAGTCTGTTTACACTGAACAGGAGTTTGCTCTTACAGGAATCAGTGTCCATCATGGATGTGACTATAGATTTCGGCAGAGAAGAATGGCAGCACCTAGACCCTGATCAAAGAAGTCTCTACCGGGATGTAATGCAGGAGACCTACAGTCACCTGCACTCAGTGGGTAAGCCAAGTCCCCTTTTTATCTGAAAGGAAGCCTCGCTGAGCATATTCTGTTCTCAGTTGGATGCCTGCCATGAGGTATCTTCAATATGCCATGGTTTTATCTGTGTTTGACTAGGATGCTTTTAAGATTTATTTCGTGTGTGTGTGTGTGTGTGTGCGTGTGTGTGTGTGCGTGTGTGTGTGTGTGCGTGTGCATGTGTGGGTGTGGGTGTGGGTGTGGGTGTGGGTGCAGTACCTGTGGAGGCCAGTAGAGGGTATCAGATTCACTGGAACTGGATTTTTTTTTTTTTTTTTTTTTTTTTTTAAAGATTTATTTATTACATATACAATGTTCTTTCTACATGCCAGAAGAGGGCACCAGATTGAATTGTAGATGGTTGTGAGCCACCATGTGGTTGCTGGGAATTGAACTCAGGACCTCTGGAAGAGCAGTCAGTGCTCTTAACCTCTGAGCCATCTCTCCAGCCCTGGAACTGGATTTACAGGCAGTTATGAGTATGCAATGAGAATGCTGTGAGCAAGGGCTCATAATTGCTGAGCATCTCCCTAACCCTGTAACCAGTGTTCTTTATCTTCTTTGTGCACTCTAAAGATTATTCTGTTCATGGAGATATATGGTTACTTAAGAACAAATTCTCATTAAACAATAAGACTCTACGGATTGGACTCTGAAACATAAGTAGCTGGACCCAGTCCTTTATCATTTCCTGTGAACAGGATGTCAAGCTCCCAAGACAGAGGTTTTCATGTAGGAAAGGAAACACGGGCATTGCAGAATGAGAGCCCATGTCAGCACTGTGTAGGAGAGTGAGTGTGACCCGTTTAGGTGGGAGGCAAGGGATCCTCAGCAAAGCAAGAAAGAAAATCTCAGCTGTCTTGAGCAGGATTGGCACCTTAGAAATGCTGTTAAGATGACTTCTGGGGAAAGAAAGGTCTTAAGTTTTTTTGTATCACTTGGAGACCCTTAACATTGAATTCTCTAGTAACTGAATGCCTTCTGCTTGGATGCCTTTGTTATTCTAGAGTGTCTGCTAATCTGCCTCATTCTTCTTTTGTTACTTTCACGTTCCTAATTGACTGTTTTTTCTCATACCTTTTCCATAGCCTTAGTCTTTATTTATATTCACAGGTATTTTTGAATCTTTCTTTCATAGTTACTTTGTGATACATATATATGTATGTATGTATGTATATATATATATATATTCCTATACATCCCCCTTTCTTCTTTCCCTGTGAGATGCTTCAGAACTATAGCTCCAACCCAGCTCTCCTGCTTTTTATGTGGCTATGAGATTTCTCACTGCTTCCCAACTTACTTTACCTTTCCTCTAGCTTATGCTTTGGAAGTCTTTGTCACTAACCCTTTGGCTGTATCCGACTGCTGGGATTGACACTATTAATCACCCTTTGCAAAGCTTCCTTCATCTTAATGCTTCCTGAGTGAACCCACATTTGACAGGGTCCTCCTGGTTAGTTGATTTTTCTGTTGCTGCTGCTGTTTTATTACTCTACTGATAAGGCCTGCATTTAGTTATAATCTTCTGTTTTAGGCTTACAATATGGGATTAATATTCCCTTTTCTCTCTTTGGCTCACATCCTCCTCTTTCCCTATGATGGAAACATTTAAAAAACATGTTATGCAGTATAAAATAAATTTGAGCTATGGAGCAGTGCACACCTACTTGTACATAATATGCCTACCCAGCTGTTTCCTGTAACCGACATATTGGGTACCTGGATGTTTCTTGTCCATCACATCCTTCTTTATCAAATTACTACCCTTTCTTTGTCTGTGTTCATCCAGGATGAGCCATTTGTACCCTGCCGTGTAGCCTCTGCTAGCTGTACTGCAAACTAAGATAACATGTTTCACCTTCAGAAAGGAAGTTAGCTTTATAATAGGGAGTTCTGAAAAAACCTCCTTGAACATTGAGGAAGATGATAGTTTTACAAATGATGGTTTTTCACATTCCGTTCTAGAAGAATTGCAACAGATTGGTGACCAGAAAGAGACCTATCAGCAAATAGGAAATAAATCAGGAAGTGATGTTATTTTCATCAAGAAGACACTGGATACAAAGGGTCATCATGGATGTAAGGTCATTAGAAAAATAATTCACGTGAACCCATATATTATTCTCCCTTCCAAAAGACCTCATCAGTGTGACCCATTTGGGAATGATCTGAAGCGGAATTTAGATTTACAAAGTCACAATGAAAATTATGGGCCAAAGAGAATTAAAAAGATTGCTGAATATGGTAAAATTTCTTCCTATGCCAACGCTGACCATACTGTAGGAGGAGAGAAATTATGGGACAGCAATCAGTGTGGAAAAGCCCTCAATTATGAACAAGTACCTTGTCAATATCAGAAATTTTATGTTGGCGAGAAGTCATATGAATGTGCTGAATTTGGAAAGCTCTTTACCCAGAAGTCACAGCTCAAAGTACATATGAAATCTCACACAGGAGAAAAACTCTATGTATGTGTGGAATGTGGGAAGGCATTTTCACAGAAGCTGGAATTGATTACCCATCAGAAAACCCACACTAGAGAGAAGCCCTATAAATGCAATGACTGTGAAAAGTCCTTTTTCCAAGTGTCTTCTCTCTTCAGACATCAGAGGATTCACACTGGAGAAAAGCTCTATGAGTGCGGCGAGTGTGGGAAAGGCTTCTCATATAACTCGGACCTCAGTATACATCAGAAAATTCACACAGGAGAGAGACATCATGAATGCATTGACTGTGGTAAAGCATTCACACAAAAGTCCACGCTCAAGATGCACCAGAAAATCCATACAGGAGAGCGGTCCTATATATGTATTGAGTGTGGACAGGCTTTTATCCAGAAGACACACCTGGTTGCACATCAGAGGATCCACACTGGGGAGAAGCCATATAGATGCAACAACTGTGGGAAATCCTTCATTTCCAAGTCACAACTCCAGGTCCATCAGCGAATTCACACAAGAGTGAGGCCTTATATGTCTGCTGAATATGGGAAAGTCTTCAGCAGTAGTCCCAACCTCATTCCACAAAAGAAAGTCCAAGTTAGGGAGAAATCTTCCATCTGCACTGAATGTGGGAAGGCCTTCACTTACAAGTCAGAATTAATCATTCATCAGAGAATTCACACTGGAGAGAAACCTTATCAGTGCAGTGACTGTGGAAAAGCCTTCACCCAGAAGTCAGCTCTCACAGTGCACCAAAGAATCCATACAGGAGAAAAATCGCACGTGTGCGTGAAATGTGGGCTGGCTTTCATCCAAAAGGCGCACTTGGTTGCACACCAGATAATCCACACTGGAGAAAAACCTTATAAGTGTGGTCACTGTGGGAAACTCTTTAATTCCAAGTCACAACTCCATGTACACAAACGAATTCACACAGGAGAAAAACCTTACACATGCAGTCAATGTGGAAAGGCATTCACCAGCAGATCAAATCTCATCACACACCAGAAAACGCACACAGGAGAAAAATCCTATATATGTTCAAACTGTGAAAAGGCCTTCACTCAGAGGTCAGACCTGATTATACACCAGAGAATTCATACCGGAGAGAAACCATATGGATGCAGTACTTGTGGGAAAGCCTTTACCCAGAAATCACACCTCAACATACACCAGAGAATTCATACAGGAGAGAGACAGTACAAATGCCACGAATGTGGGAAAGCCTTCAATCAAAAATCAATACTCATTGTGCATCAGAAAATCCATACAGGGGAAAAGCCCTATGCATGTACTGAGTGTGGGAGAGCTTTCATCCGCAAGTCAAACTTCATCACCCATCAAAGAATTCACACTGGAGAGAAGCCTTATGGATGCAGCGACTGTGGAAAAGCCTTCACCTCTAGGTCTCAGCTCCTGGTGCACCAGCCGGTGCACACAGGTGAGAAGCCTTATCTGTGTGCTGAATGTGGGAAAGCATTCAGTGGCAGGTCAAATCTCAGTAAGCACCAAAAAACTCATACCGGGGAGAAACCGTACATCTGTTCCGAGTGTGGGAAGACCTTCAGACAGAAATCAGAGTTAATTACACATCATAGGATTCATACTGGAGAGAAGCCTTACGAATGTGGCGACTGTGGGAAATCTTTCACTAAGAAGTCACAGCTCCAAGTGCATCAGCGAATTCATACAGGAGAAAAGCCTTATGTGTGTGTTGAGTGTGGGAAGGCCTTCACTGATAGGTCCAATTTAAATAAACACCAAACAACACACACTGGAGATAAACCTTATAAGTGTACAGTCTGTGGAAAAGGCTTTGTTCAGAAGTCAGTACTCAGTGTGCATCAGAGTATTCATACTTAAATGGTATGAGGAAAAACTCATTGAGGATATGTCCTGTTGTAATCACTGTCTCTATGAAATGGGATGATATGTATACTGTTGTAAATAAAAATGGCCATGTGACAGTACCACACATTACTGCTCAGAAAAGGACCTCCAAGAAAGTACTGAATGGAGAAGGACCTTTCTACATGCTCTGAAGAAACGGCATCAATTTGAAACAATAGATGTTGATAAGAATCCTGTTAGTGAAATCCTGTTAGTGCCAACTAATTGAATAAAACCATATAACATACATGACACTGATAGTCTTCTTTTCCATCAGTTTGTTGCAAACATTAACAGATCTGTGGGTGTGTTTGCATTCTTGTTTGAATATAACATAGTTGTGCATATACAGTACTTCTGATGAGAAAGATAATACTACAGAGCCGGGCATTGGTGGCGCACACCTTTAATCTCAGCACTCAGGAGGCAGAGGCAGGCGGATCTCTGTGAGTTTGAGGCCAGCCTGGTCTATAGAGCGAGTTCCAGGACAGTCTCCAAAACAATAAAGAGAAACCCTTTCTCAAAAAAATAAAATAAATAAAAATGAGCAAAGATATACTACAGGACTGAGGATAGCATTTCATGCCTTTAATTCCAGCCTTTGTGAAGAGCTGAGACAGGAGAGTCACCATGAGTTCACGGTAGTCTAAGCTACAGGGGACCAGCCAACCTGTTTGAACGTGGTGCCTGAAGGGGGAGTGAGGATTGAGAAAAGAAAGAGACAAAGGGCGTAAGATAGAGTTGGGAGGGCTCTTAGTGAATCCTGCAACAGCCCCAAGTTTTACTCATAGTCCTTATAAACCCCAAGCAAAAAGGGGAGGGCAAAAGACTTGCTTACCGTGATACAAGGAATAAACAGATGCAGTTACCTTAACACCCAAACATCTAGTAACCACATCCTAAGACACACATCCTGTCATTTGGTCTTGAGGAGCAAGACATCTAGTAGCCGTACCTTTGACCAAACATTCTCTTATTTGGCCCTGGGGAGTAGGAATAGGTTTGAACTTTCTGACTTTAAGTCAAGATGGAATGCAGTCAATACCGTGGGCTCCAACAACAGGATAAGACCCTGTCTCAAACATGTGAAAGACCACAATAAAAACATACTAACACAAACTTCAGAGTGAAAGTGGACTTCTCATTGTCATTTACACCAGGACCCGTAACACACTTCATATGGTATCTGTTGTGTTACAGCATTGTAGGGAAGGGTATCCAGGCCAACAAAGGCCAGGCTATACCTACAGCTTGAGAGGGAAAGGAGTGTTACATCTCTGCAGAGAAAGGCATTCTGGCCTTCAGAAGCCAGGCTATAATTGTAAGTATCACAGCTCTGAAGGGAAAGGTGTCCTGGAAGCCAGGCAATACCTACAACACTGTTCTGTTGCAGGATGGTTTCCCCCATAGGAATGTCGCCGCTGCTCCTCTCTGGGAGAGCCATTACTTGTCTGCTCCATTCTGTTATTGGAGTTCTCTGGCAGAAATGCAGCAGTTCTGCTCCTGCTCTGGCAAAAGTTGTTATTTCTCTGCCCCACTCTACTTGGGGGAAAGAAGATCATCACCGAAACCTCATTCAAGAGATTTATGGGTGGGGAGAGTCCAGGAGAGTGGCTGCCTCTGCCAGGATGGAAAAGGACAGCTTCTAACTGAACAGGTACAGGACTTACATAGGGTTCCTTAGGGGTGGAGTTTTCAGGGTGGGACCTGATCAGATTTCAATCCCTCAGCTTGGACAAGCTCAGAGGTGGGCTGGGTTTTGTGCTCAGGGATTGGTTGGTTTTTGTGGTGAGTTAGTCAGGGGCAAAGTGTGTTTCTTTGATTCTGGTTTCAAGACCCTTTTTAACCTTTTGCCCCTGGTTTCAGGGTCAGTGAATTGGCTCTGGGATGTGTTTCTTTGCCTCTGATTTCAGGGTCAGGGTATGTTTCTTTGGCTGGACATTTACGCTACATTAGTAATATCTTTGTCACTAACAATCAAGGCATCATCTCCTGACCCAAATTATGGTGTCTTTTGAATTTCCTTTACCCCTTGGAAGGCTTGAAGTAAAAATTTTTCAGATCACCTGGGACAAACTAAATCTCTTGTCACAGTTTTTTACACTCACTGCCTTCCTTGATGATCTGACTTTTGTAAACCTATAGAACAGCCTCGGGGTTGGGGATTTAGCTAAATATCTGTGTGTGCATAGGTGGAAAATGGGCAGCCTATCAGCAACCATCATTTGCTAATATTTCCTCAACTAGTGGTGCTGCCTCATTGAGTAATCTCTTTAGGAATGACTCTGATGTACATTCACAAGTTGAGTAATGAGATAATAAACTGGGTTGAGACCCCAGTTTGTTGGGGATGGCTGGAGGAGGGAAACATCAGTGTTGCAGTGAGTCTCTACCTTCCTAATGCTGTGGCCCTTTAATACAGTTCCGAGTGTGGTGGTGACCCCAGCCACAAACTGTTTTCATGGCTACTCCATAACTGTAATTTTGCTACCGTTATGAATTGTAATATATATGTATATATATGTGTGTGTGTGTGTGTGTGTGTAGAGGTTTGTTCAAGGGATCGAAACCCACAGTTTGAGAACCACTGACTCACTGTATGCTCTGTCCACCTTCCTGTGCTACAGTCCCCAATGAGCTCCTCTCCCACGCTCCAGACACGTTGGTGGACTTGCAGCTTCAGGGCATTTCCACTTGTGGTCCCTCTGCAAGGATCACAGTTTTGTTTCCTCTGGCAGCTTGCTCCTGCCTGTCTTTCTCCAGTGACACCTCCACGGCGTCCTTCCCTGCCTGCTTGGTTCAGCATCCTAGCCTCTCTCTTGTTTTATCTTCCATAGCACTCCTGCCTTGTATATTTTACTCTTTGTCTGTTGCTCTCTGTAGGATCTTTTCCCTATTTACCATTAGGAGTTTACACCGTGCATGAGGATGTGCATTATGGGGTGTTGACCCTGGCTTATCATGCCAAGTACCTCTGATATTTTCTGTTTTGCTCCTTAAGACGCCCCAACAGGGAGGACCAACTTCCCTAAAACATACCAAACGTCTCTGTCCAGGTTTCACCTGATTCTAATTTCCCTAAATGAAAGGAATTTTTTAAAGCCCACTCACAGTTACCTCTACATGCACAGTTCTGTCAACCCCACCAAAGAACCCAAACTGTAGGACTTTATGCCACCTCCCAGGACACCTGAGTCAGTGGTATGGGGGGGCAGTCATGAAAGATGGGTGAATCTTCTTTGAAAGTCAGTCAACCAAGCTAGGCAGTCAAAAGATACAAATACAACAGTGAGTGGAAGCTATGGCATGGATTCAAATTGGCACCAGTGTTATCTCATGACTCTGGGATCTCTTAGAAACCGCCTCTTTTTTCTGAGACAGGCTTTCCCTGTAGCTTTGGATGCTGTCCTGTAACTCACTCTGCAGACCAGGCTGGCCTCAAATTCACGGAGCTTCACCTGTTTCTGCCTCCCAAGTGCTGGGATTAAAGGCATGTGCTGCCATCAGCTGGCATAGTAACAGCCTATTATTACCTCACCTGCAAAATGGGGTAATGTGGAGGCTGAACTGACTTAATATGAGTCACATGACTGTAGCAAGCCCAGAAGAGTTCAGTGAGGAGTTCTTGTTTAGATTTTTGGACACATTGGCATCGATCTGACCATTTCCAGGCCCAACCCTCATGTGGGGAAGCACATTTTGTTGTAAATTACTGTCAATTATTTTCTTATGTTTATCATGACAAAATTTACTACTGACATTTTATGTATTTATATACAAGCACACTTTAAAAAGACAAGTTTCATAGAAAAGGTTGTAGGTTTCCTATATATCTCTCTACCACCACATATGCATAGTGTCCTGAATGGAAAGTGATTCATGTGTTACATCAGACAAACTTATACTGATTCTTGTTAACACTCAAAGTTTACATTAGAAATCCGTTTTGAAAATGTATTCTTTGACAATTCAAATATGTATATAACATGTTGATCTTAGAGACTCAGCTGTCCTCTCCCATTCCCTCAGAGACCCTCCAAACTTTCTACCTTCATGTCTTTTCCCCCCTTTATTTTTTGAGACAAGATCTCACTGTGTAACCTGGAATTTGCTAGGTAGATCAGGCTGGCCTGGAACTCTCAAAGATCTACCTACATCTGCTCTCCAAGTGCCAAAATTAGAGATGTGTGTCACCATGCCAAGCACCCCTCACTTAATAACCCACAGATTTAATTAATTCTACCCTCACAGATATAGGTACAGGTCCATTCACTGGAGAATGGGCAACCTTCCTTCAGCCTGAGGAAAAGTAACATCCCTCACCCAGTGTGCATCATTTGCTAATAGCTCCTCAGTGAGGGTTGGAACTTCATGAACCTCTCTCTAGGGGTCACTTTGATGCATGTAATAGAGATTGATGCAAATGAGTCAATTTATCCATCATTATGTTGTCACATGGAAGAATTTAAGTGCCATAAAATTCTTCCATGTCCTCCTGCCTGTCAATCCCTTTTCCCCCAATTATTGGAAACTTGACTGTGTCCATAGTTTCACCTTTGCCAAAATGTCATGTTGGAATCACACAGAATGTAAATTTTTTTCACATTGGCTTGTTTGACTCAATAAGATGCATTTAGGTTTCCACTACCTTCATGAGTTGACAGCAGCTCATGTCTTTTTCCTTCTGAATAATAATAATCCCATTGTGTGTATATGCCATTTGCTCACCTAATAAAGGACATCTAGACACTTGCATGCCCAGCTTCCGGTGATCTTGGGTCCTCCTAGGGACCCCTTCCATGCCCATCACCCACTCCCTCAATCTTCTGGGGGTCACTCCTGGCATCGAGTAGACATGCCCACACAATTAGGACTTGAGTCCTCCCAGACCCCACCCCCGGCTCTCCCCACACCCAAGCACCTGGCTTCAGAGAGGAAGGAAATGAGAGTCCTGTCAGACCCCATCTCTCCCTATACCCATGTGACGGCTTCAGGTAGACCAGTGGAGACAGAGAGACCCCACCTGCACCCACTGGAAGAAGGGATGGGAAGATGACAGTGTAAGAACACACTCAGCAATAGAAAGATCAATATGACTCCACCAGAATCTAGAGACCCCACACCAACAAGACCTGAAAAGCACAACATAGATGAAGCAGAAGAGACAGGCCTTAAAAATTATTTTATGAACACGATAGAGACCCTGAAAGAGGAAATGAGAAAATCCCTTAAAGAAATAGAAGAAAAAAAAT